CCCCCCGGCCCCCCACCCCTTTCCCGGGGCCAGCACCACGCCGCCAGACAGCCTTCCCCCCTCCCCGCTATGGCCCCGCCATCCATCCATCCATCCATCCATCCTTCCTTCCAGTACTCCATCCATCACTCCCTGCCTCGAAGCCCGCCAGCTGCCTCCTGGGGCTTCCCGGGAAGGAGAGCCTAATTGTCACTTGTCCCACAGCTAGGGTGGACATTGAGGCCCCAGAGGCAGGCAGGGAAGGGACAGAGCAATCTAAATAAGAGCAGCCTCTCTGGGATCACTCTGGATTGATCCCTACCGCGGCAGGACCAAGGTACAGTAATACATGACACCCTCGCCTCCCAGCTCCCTGCGCACAGGCTTCCCAGCCTGGTGGGCTCCACACCAACCAACCTGCCCCCAGCACTGCCAACCTGGACGACCACCAGGCCAAAGAGGTGCCGAGATGCCCAGCCCTTCGCAGGGCAGGAGACTGTTGTAAGGAAGCTGTCACTGCCCTCTGATCCAAAGCTTCCTCTCTGAGAAGGGCAAAGGACAAAGACATATACAATGTCTATACCATTCCCTGGGCACAGCCACGCACTCCCGCATTGCTCTGTGGCGCTTTTGGCGGTTGGAGGATATAGCTGCAGAACTGGAAGATATTCCTATTGCATCAGAAGGAGCAGTGCTCGTGGTGATCACAAGCTTTTATGGAGAAGCTCACAGAGTTATTCCACAGTTATTTAATTTAACACCAGTATGCTAAAGATTTGAGTGCTGCTCTGTGCCTCTCAGACTTCCCATGACCATTTCCATTGTCTTTGCTTTGAATCCCTCAGTTTCAGGTCAAAGATGCTAGACTAAAGTTCCTTATTGCAGCTGATTTATCCACATGATTAAGGGGAACGGAATTTGATGGGTTAAGGCATATGGAGTTTTTCTGCTGCTGTTGTGCATAAGGAAATACTCAAAACATTCAGAGGTCTGTGATTTCCCACTCAGAACAGAGCCAGATGTATTTTAATTATAGGAAAACCTTTGCTGAGCCAGCTTCATGGTACATTCACAACCATTCTTCACTTGTTAGACTCACTCTCTAAAATGAACAAGTCGGTTACTTGAGGTATGTATAAAATGTGTTCACTCCTGGAAAATGTAGAGGTCTGAGAGTTACCTTAGCCATATGTTAGGCAGGATTCTCCAGTTTCTATATGCTGAAATTTGCTCTCATTTCTTATCACAGGAAGAATTTTACCTGAGTAAGAACCATAGAGCAAAACCAAATATTTGTCTGTTGACAGTCACTCTTTTTCTACTGATTCCCCCCCCGGTCTTTTCAGAAGGACACCCTGGAGACCTGGCATAGATCTTTAACTGAAATATTTTGATGGAAAATGTGTTTTGTTTTGTTTTGTTTTGTTTTTTTTTTTTCCAGGAAATGAACATTTCAGTGAGGAATATCTGTTTTCAATAACAGGGTTTCTCTAAAAGAAAATCCCAAAATCCAGACCACAAAGCATTTTTCAGTTTTTAGTAAATGACAAAAGAATTAATCCCCATCAGAAATACTTTGTTTAAAGATTTCCAATTGCCTCAAAAAAACAACCCTCTTGGGAAAAAACCCCAAACACACAAATCATTTGCCTGTTGCAGGTAGGTTCAAGTCTTACAAATAAAAGGCTGCGGGCCCAACACACCCATACCAAGTCTGTGTATTGCTATGAAACAGTGAAGAAAAGCCCTGCTCAGTCCCTCAGTTTCGACTTCCCAATTGCATGACCAAAAACATACTGCCATGATCCAGGCCTGCTTCCAGAATCCTGCAGAATATGTATAGTCTCTACCCAAGAAAACAAACTGACCCAGAAGATTTTACGCTGGGGGACACTTTATTCTTTAAAGGACCATTTAAGGTCCGTAACAATTCTTTCATTTGCTGTGCCACAACACGAACTATTCCAGTAGATGTTAGCTGTGAGAGTGTTTCTGAGATGTAGGACTTGTTTTATAGGTGTTGGACTGTGGCCATTCACCTATTTCATGAAGACCAGGAGAAAGCCTTCAGAATACTCTTCATCTATAAAGTGCAGCAAGATAGAAGGAACAAGTGCCTTCGGGCAATAAAGGCTCTATTCTGCAATGGCAGTATATTGAGCTATTCATCCTAAATACACAGATATCAAATTACGTTTCTATTTACATGATAATCTTATCTAAAGACTGTGAGGTGCCAATCTACCTATACAGTACAGTTTCTAAAACAAAAACCTGGGTAAACTCTGGGGTGTCTAATTGGCTCTGTCTGGCAATCTGTACATACTCACACCTTATTTATACACAGAGGCAGTTTCCTTCAAGCACTGCATACTTCAGACTCACCAGCTGTTTAGAATTAGACATCGGAGTTCAACCACAGAAGGAATTGTCCCTCTCTGAGACTGAAGGGCCACTGCTGCTAGCACAGGCTGGAGTCAGGCGTGTGCATTTCCAGAGCCAATGTCTTCCCTCTCACCAGTAGTTCTTCATGTAGTTGAATTGATCACCAACAGCCATTCCCCCCCTTGCCCTTTGAGTCACATTTTTCTTTATATCCTTTCTGTATGCTTCTTTCCTTTCAAATCATTTATGTTTTCCCTCTCTATCTCAAAAATATGCCCTCATGCCCTTCTCTGGCTTTACTAATTAATTTAAAAATCAGCAGGAGTTGAACTCCAAACTCATAAGTAATGTAACTTCACTCCAAAAAAGTTTGAAAGCAAAACAATTCTTATATTCCAGTCCCTTAAAACAGCTAAAGCTCAGTGAGAAAAATGGTCTTTTTAGCTTTCCATTTCATGTTTTATGAAAATATTGTGAATTGTAATCCCATTGCATTGTGGAAGATGAGACAACAGAGTGAGATGTAACTTGAATGGCAACAAATTTCACATGGCTTATATACTAGTTACACTGGTTAATTATGCATATAGTAATAAGGATATAAAAGTCAATAAGAGCCGAGTTTCTATTTTACAAGCTGTGATCATATCAGTTAGCTCAATGCTATTAGATTCATTTGCATGCTGAGCTTTTCAGAGGAAAGGGAATAAAAAGATAAGGAAGAAAATATGGAAAGAAGCTTAAAGGAAAGGAAAACAGAGGTGGGATGTAAACGCCATAAATAATATATCACTGTTATAAAAAAAAATTAAGAGGGGACAGAATGTGAATCAGGATCAGTTTACTGCATGTCTTGGATCACTCAAATGAAGGACAGACATAATATCACTATGGCAGATATGACTCAAATCTCTACTGTTATAAAGTGAGGGTAGCTCCACTGAGATCAGAAAGCTATACTGATTTATATTAGCTGAGAATATTGCGCATGGACTTTAACCCTCTTCATAGATCCTTATCCTAGCACAGGAGCAATAGGAGATGTTTATCAGGTCATGCTGAAATAACCCAGACTAAAAGGCAGTTTTACTTTTCTTTCAGTCTCCTTCTGTATGTAATTTCCCCATTAATGTTATGGAAAACAGTTTGATTTTCAAAACATCCCCCCTCAGCATTTTTCCCCTCGGCATTTATTTTATTTACCTGAATCCCCTAAGGCTGATCCTTTCCTGCAGATGGACCTAATTAATCTTTCCAACAGTGCCCCTAAGACAAAAGAAAGTAATATATGTACAGATGGGACCAGGGCACTCCATCATCCATCCAAATAAGTGACCAGTAATGTGACCAAAACTATTCCTTTGGGGTTATTGACTGACCACTGTGAAGTCGCACAAGGCTCAGTGTAAACAATAAATTTTATTTACTAAGGTGGTACTCTAGAAAAAAAAGATTGGTTTAAGGGTGTATATAATAAATTATTTCTGACATGAATAAATTATACAACTGGAAGGCAAATTGCCATCGTAAATTTACCTGCCAAATTAATTTACAATGGGCCTCTAGCATGACAATAGGTGAAATGTAATACTAATCTATGCAGAATAAACAGCATTTCTGCAGTGTTGCCTTGTATATTCTACTGCACTCTCATTAAGTTGAAAGAATACCCACTATTCCCAAGCTAAAATGCTAGAGGGATTTCCAGTCCCAAGTTAGTCTTTTGGTTTTTAACACCTAACTAATAGGAAAGTAAATGAATTCTTGCATTGTTAGAGACGGACAGTAAAGTGTTTCCCAGTTTTATGTTCATTAAGAAAAAAAAATATTATCATCTTAATTCCTTCCCTATAATATTCCCTCTCAAGGGGAACTAATTGATCCGTGTTATCTTCCACAGTCAGGCTTTAAGCTAGCCACCTGCTCTTTCTATCTTCTTTTCTGATCTGCTACAAGAATACAATAAAATGGAGAACGGTTTTCTTAACCAAAGCAAAATTTGCTGCTCTTACTCTGAAAACAAAGGTAGTTTGATTGCCTTT